CTAGAAATGGTGTATTGAGATGAATATTTATGTAAAATAGGAATGTCTCAAATATTTTAAAATAAAAGGAGAAAACCAACATGTCAGGGGACAGACTAGAATTCTTGTGTTTTAATATATTGACTTTGCATGCCTAAAGAGCATGAAGTGATTATACAAGTCCAAATTGCACAGCTAGTTTTTTAATAGAAATCATAAAACAGCTACCTTGATTCTGAATGTATGGCTATTAATACTGTTATTAATGCTAAGACAAGTGCTTCCTACCAAATACCTGAGGTAGTGATGCAATCACATCTTTGTGTTTTACCACCCAGAATACAAGGGTGAACATAAAGAGAACCTTATTCTTCCTTTGACTTTATGATGGGAGGTGAGGAATATAAAGCTATTTGTAGGGCTAGACAGAGACATTACAGAGCCCCAGGAGTCTCATGCGCATGAGCATGTTCTTTGCCTCCTGGAGAGAAGGCAGGCATAAAGACATTCAATTCAACTCTGGGGACCAGATTGGGACATTGTGGCAATAGCAAAGAAACACTTTGTCACGGCTTTCTTCCAAATTGACCTTTCAGCTCCCTAATCTAGTTTACCACCCAAATTATCTCCCAAGTAATCCCAAGTACTAACCACATCTATCTGTAGCTTTTTCAAGAGTTTTCAAAATGTGCTGCCACCTGCTGGGGCCAAAACATTTTATCTAGTTTGTTAGGTATCTTCCATTTAAGTTCATAATACTTCTTTACTATTGGAACTGTCAAAGAGAAAAAGGTGTTCTGTAGTGCATCAAGATGCTCACATAGCACCTGTCTAGGAACTCCTGTCTCTTTTTCCAAAGCTCTCTTAAGATACCCGCAGCATGAAAAGCAATCTGGTTTAATGCCAGCATCTTCTTCACTGTCATCAGAAACCTTTGGTCTGTATTTTAAAAAGTCCCAGTTTTAAGGACAGTTGTCTGGGCCTGTAATATGAAGGTTCAGAACACATGTTATCTGTCTGTCCATAACCTGTGCTTTGGTACTAGTATTAGGTAACACTAAGAATTTAGTTAACAATAAACCTAAGTCATAAGAAACCATTTACTTCTCTGCCAAGAACCACTCTGTATTTTTCAGCTGTACTTTCCTATGATAAATTCTACAATTCAAGAAAAGCCAGTAAGCAAGTCTAAGGAAATAGTTAATATCTGGAAAATGATTAAAACTTGACAATTAAATGAATTTTTAACAAACCATCAAAAACTTTATTTACATAAATTAAAATCAATTGCCTATAAATACGGAAGCATATATATATATATATGCTTATAAAACAAATATCTGAAGGTTTTTTTAAAGCTTTATTACTAAGCTAACATCTGTTCTGAAAACAAGTATCAAAAGTGCACTTTCCTCTCTTAAATGCATGTAACATTTATTGTTCGGACAGTTGTGTAATTTTAAGTAGGAGAATCCATGAAAAAGTAGAGAACTGCATTCATAATTCCAAGCTTATATACAGTAGGTTTAACTTCAATTGATTTTACAATAGTTCTGCAATAAGCATGGATATGGCTTTTCAACTGCCATTGCACATTACATTGATCTTTATTACAGTATTTTACATGACCGCACATGACAAAGTTCAGTAACTAGATTACACAGCCAGTCCGAAACAACTGTGGGAAGATCATTAAGGGGGGGGAAAAATTACACCTTTTTCATTGAACCTGAAACTCAGACTATAGTTCATGCTGTATTATGTAAACATACTAGTCCATTTTAGTGATATGAGAATAGGTTTAGGCTTTCTAATTAGAAGTGAATGACTGCATAAGTACCCCATAACTGAAGGTTACATAAATTTAATAAATCCAATTAGTTCAGAATTACTAAAATTCTTAAATAGATCAGATTACTACATCAAGCCATCCACCAGTTTATTTACAAATATTTAACTGATCACTTTTATGTTCAAAATCTGTTCCTTATATGTTCTTATTTCTTACAGGCTTGAAATGGTTATTGGCTACTATTTATGGGAAAGAGCAGCCCTTTAGGCAATTTAGTTTGGACAACTGCCTACATTAAAGATAAGAATGTCACTAATCACAGAATTTCCATATGAGTTCAAGTAGATGATGTACATTCACAGATCTTATTACCATTAATATTCTTAATTATGAATGCATTTAAAATGAAATTTTTGGCTGCCAAAGCAAATGCATGTATATACAATATCCATGTATATAGTCTGAGATTTGAGTTCTAGGTTTTATAAATTTGGGAGTTCAGCATTTTTACTTGGGCTCTATTAACACAAAAGAAATTTTCTCACTGAATAACAAGGTTTTTCCATCAAGTCAGTATTACATTCTAATAAGATCCTTGTAATAGTGCCCTACATTCTTCGTCACAGCTTCTGCCTGATTGCATCAATATTTTTATAACTTACAATTAAACAAAAAAATAAGGTCTCTTTACTACTTGTACAGGATTTTTTTAACATAGGTTTCAGTAGATGGGAGTCTATGGTCTTCGAGTAAACTGAGCTATAATACTCCTTAAAGCAGAATTAAGTTTACATAAATAAAACACAAAGCAGCCAAATGAGAAAACTTAGATTACCAAATCCATCCATATATTCATATATATACTGGATGATACTGTTTGTGATTGAGTTTTTTCCTACAAGTAGGACAAGAGTTTGCACTTTTAAGAGAATTTTGGAGGCAATGACTACAAAAGATGTGGCCACATTTTGTTGACATTATAAGTCGTCCACTATGGATAATTTCTGCATAGCCATCCATGCAAATTGGACAACTCACAGTGCCTGAAGATTTTGGATTTCTAATTTTCTCCTTTTCTAATTCTCTAGGCAATTTACTGGCAGCCAACTCCTCACTTTCACTACATTCATTACATATTATACAGCTGTTGAACAGCGGTCGGCTTCTTAGTTTTTGGTTTTGCTGTTGTCTAGTCTCTTCCGCAAGTACAATGGAATCATTATGTGTAAGATCAACCACTGAAGTGTCACCGGTGAGATCTATTATTTCTACACTTTCATTGAGTTTGATTGGCTCTATTTTTGCTTCTGCAGCTGAAGGTGACATTCTATTTTGGTTAGGAATTTGCAGGGGAGTCCTCTCTCCATAGCGTTCCTTCCGATTCTCTTCCTGATTCATGCCTCTGCTAACACTCAAGGGGACAACTGCATCCAGAAGACTGGGCCCAGCTTTAGGAGAAGAGCCAACAGAGGCAGCTTCTACAGTGGCAATGGGAGAAATGGATGGCAAGGAGAAACTCTTGATTTTAGAAGTAGCTCCTGTAGCCATATTGCCCGAGACATTAGAAGGTGGTGCTGGGTTGAGGGGACTCTGATTGTTGCTTTTTCTGCTCCTGGTTCCATCAAGCTTCACACTGGCTGACTTCATGGTACGCAGCAAGAGGACTGGAGCAAGTTGCACAGAATATCTGTTTTCTCCCTTATCTCCAACTGCAGATTAATGCTTAGCTGCCACTCAGTTCTACAGTGCCGATTATGAATATTCTGGAGTACCTTTATACAATGGAAGAATTTTTAGAGTACTACAACCATTAAAGTGGTCTCTTTAATGCCACGTACTGCAAAGCTGGGAGCAAGTTCAAACTCTTGCGTTGAAATGTTACACTTTAGAACTGCATCAAAGTAAGGGGAAAAAAATGATTAGGCTCAGATACAATTCATTTTATTTTCTTTTTTTTCAGCCAATAATCAGCTAAAACTATTATGAGGTAATAAAGAAATTCAGACAATTTATTGCAGCATACTAAGTCAAAGCAAGGATTCTGGTTGCAGATATTATATTTACCTCAGCTCAAACAACTGAGCAAACCAGTTGTTCAATTATCTGTAGGTATCTATTCTGTCTGAATTGAAAAACTAGTTACCAATTTTGGGTGCAATCTAAGAATATTAAACCATAATTTGAAGTTGTTAACTTTCTGGCTTATTCCAAAATGGCAGTCATACCTTAAGGTTGGACCACCTAAAACTAAACATTTTGTTAATTTTGTTTATACACTCAAGCAAAGAAATGCATGTGTGCAAAGTGATCATTTTGCTGAGGTGATAATCTCAATGACTTCCTTGACTGCTACCTATATAAAAGAAGTCAGGAAAGAGAAAACCAGAAAATGAATGCAAGAAGTAGGCGCGGTGTAGGACATAAAGACTTTTCATACATGTTTGAAAACATTTAAAATACTATGTAACTGTTCACTTGCTTCAAGTGTCCTATAGCATCAGGATGTAAATTCAGGTCTTGCAGAACTACCCAGCATTGGGGTTTGTCTTACAATACTGCAAGAAAGACAACATGGCCTGCATTATGTAAAAAAGGGATATCATTATGGGCTTACTTGCACGCTGGAATCCCTCTTTTCGTCTGTTACAATAGCTTATTTTGCTTAATTGTAGGCTGTTTTGTACAAAAAGATTCTAAACTATCATAAGTAAATAACTGTACCATTATTTGCAATAGAAAAACTGCTATTTTCCCAAAGCCCCAACAGCATAAAAGGTGTTAAAAGCTTTCCAAAATCATGAGGAAGAGAAAAAAGAACGAGGCACCCATACAGTGCTTCAAGAGCCCCTAAATAGCAATAGCACTTAGACTTATATACAGCTTCATAGAGCTTTACAGCCCTCTCTAAGTAGAGTCAGCATATTGCCCCCAACAATCTAGGTCCTTATATTACATCTCGAAGCCCCAATTAAGGAAGAAAAAGATCCTAAAGGAATTCATGAAACTTATTCATATAATTTCAATTTAGCAGTAACACAAAGACAATTTCAAATGAATATGATTTGAATAATATATCTTTTTTTCTGCCTGTGTAAAATGTTAGTTAACAGTATACTGTCTTTCATACAACATTGAGACTAAAAGGTTAAATGTGTTATTTAAATGTAACCAAAACTAAATCAGAATACCAAAGCAGAAAAGAAAGCATTCTGCAATGTCCTGATCTTACCCTTGAACTGGTGAAGTGTTTTGTGCACTCAGACTTCGAATTGTAGACCTCAACAGAAATGCTGAAAGACAACCAGGGACAAAAAGTCACTCAGATAGGATTCAGATGTTCAAATTCTAGAATTAGTAAGAATAGTTTACACTTTTTAGGGAAGAGTAAAAATTCTACTGGAATCATCATCATACTCCTTAGACACTTCACAATTCATACAAAAAGATATTTGCAACCTTTTTGGGGCCAGAGAGGCAAGAAAGTATGCTGCACCAGATCTTAAATCCTAAAATATATGCTTACTCTTCAATATGAATTGAATTTCTGCAAATATATTGGATAGAGTAACAATATTCCATGTGGTCAAAATTAAGTTTATGCCTTTTTTAAATGCAATTTTCCTTCTCTTTCATAACAATTGCTTTTATATACAAAATTAAAAAAAAATCAAGGTAAAAAAGTAGGGAAGAATATTGTAAGATGCTATAAATAGGAAATGGAGAATTAAGTGGGTGACCTCCAACATAAACAGGAAGAAGTGGCAATACAGAGAAGGAGAATTTGAAGGTCTCTGTATATCTGAAAGACATTTCAGGTATACAGCCATTGTTTGAAATGGTTGTTTCTTACAATCTGAACTAAATTAACCCCTTTTTAATTTGGCACAATACACTGAATCACAGTAACTAACAAGCTAAATTTATGTCACATTGAAGGCAAACAAACCAAATTTCAGCATATGGTGTGCACCCAGCTTAACTGATTTAGCTGGGAATGCTATTTGAACCCAGGTAAATAAGTTTGTAACAAGACTTTCCTCCTTCTTGGAAAGATCTTTTAAAACTATTTTTTGGCTTTTTATATATAATTACATAATAGAAACTTGGAATAAAAATTACCCACTTATAATAAATGGAACAATAGCAGTTATCTGCAGGAAAATGCCAGCAAAAATTGCTGACTGAAGTCTCAGAGTGAAGTTTGCTCCAAATTATGCAATACTTTTCTGATAGACAAAAATTGCACATAGCCAAAACATTTTTTTTCCAAAGCATGCAATGACAAATAACTTTACTTTCTTGGAATGCTTATTAGTGTATGTTTGTTTTTTAAATACCAGCCTGAAAGAGTAAGAGAATAGGATCTCAATTTTGACTGCAATTGGAGTTGTCAGATGTTGCTCCTTGTTATTAAATGTGGAGTGCTGCTTAATACTATTCACACCATATAGCCTTAAAGGAATTTATACTAAAGAGTAAAATAAGTGTAATTTACCAAACTTGTCACTTCAACTACCAGACTTCAAAAACATATAATAATGTAGCCATCACAGAATATTCAATTGGAATGGAGATTAACATTTGTTTTATCATATACTTACATCCCAATAAAACAATTTGGCAATGCTTAATCAGTTATGAAGCAGTTTAATTATACACTACCAAATGAACAAATGAAAAAAAAGTTGAACATTTAAAATATTCTATTTTACACTGCCTATCGAATTAATAAAATTAAGATTGAAAACAGTAAAAGGTACTATTAACAAGGACATTAATATGCTAGTTTGGTTTGAGTCAGACTTTAATTTTCAAAAATAGATAGCTTCAAGGTTTCTGGGCATTTTTTATAATATAAATAAATGAAACATGCAAACTGAGAATACAATCACTCAGGCCACACGGATATTTTTTTGGGGGGTGGGGGGAAATATGCAAGAAACATTTGAGCTTTGGCGGTTCAAAACCCGACTAAACGTGCTTTGCTTCTTACAAGGCAGAGTTCCCTCATAATACAGAGATTACTTGCATTATGGGGAGCTCATATATACAACTCATAATTATTCCTAGCAGCGAAGACACAATGAACAAGGCAAAACAAAACAAAATATATTATCCATGACTTGAAGCACCTTTCCTCACCTGGTTGAGGTGAATTACAAATCGGAGCATACGACCGGCCAGAGATGAAGTCCAACGTAATTGGGGAGTATGGGGAATGGGTCGGGGGGAAAGAAAGGCTGTCTGAAGAAAAATGCCAGAATAAACAAGAGCTCGATGCAGGAGAGGAAAAGGATTTTCGATTTAAAACCAGCAGCAAAGAGAACGCAAAGGAATCATTATGATGCAGGCAGAAAGTACAGAATAGCCGAGCCACGTTAACAGAAAAAAATACCAGAAGGAAACCAAGCCTGGAAACGAATAAACGTTGGGTTTAAAAAGATAACGGTTCCTGAATGAGAGCTTAATTCAGAAAATGACCCCCCCCCACCCCCGCTCACCTGTCCGAGAAAGAAGCCGCCCGTAACCAAAGGCAGACGCCGCTATTGCCATTACAAGCCGACCAGGTTTTCTCCCGCTCGCTCCCGACGGAACCGGAAGTTCAGCCCTGGGAACAGCTGGGGCGCCATTTATAGGGACCGTCGGGTAGCGAGAGCCAGGTTTTAAAGGGCCGTTCGTTGTCGGCACATCGTTGCCTGCTGTCCCCAGAACGGGGCTTCTCGGGGCCTCCGCTCAAGCCGGCAGCAATGGCGGCGTTGGTGGAAGAGTTTGTGTCCCGGCAGATGGAGTTGCTAAAGGAGGAAAGAGAAGCCGAAATTTCGGAAGCAAGGTATCCCTTCGGCTAGGGGGCAAGCTGGTTTTCTCAGCATCTCTCTGTCCCCATAGCAAAAACCGGAATGTACTCATTTAAGCAACGACTTAAGTTATATACTTTGACCTTTGCAAACACGCTTATTCAAATATCTGCTTCCTAATTCTAAATTGCTGTTAGCCAATGCTAGTTTACAACATGGCTTATAGACATTTGTTAGGACAAGAACAAGTAAGATAAGGTATCCCTGTAGGCTCTGACCATTGGCCATTAGGAAGAATTGATGGTGATGTAATCGAAAACATTTGAGGGTCAGCAGTTTGACCTAACTTTGCTACAGCAATATTCAATTAAACAGTTTAATTTTGAGTATCACCTGCCTTATAATTGAAGACTTGAAACCGTTAAGCAAATCTGCCATTGGAGAATTGCGACTATAGAAACAAATACTTGGTAAATACACAAATAGTGTATTTGTATATTTAACAGATAAAATACAAGCCAAACAAGCTACTTAATGTGAGGGCTAAAGTCTATAAACTTGTGTGGTATTTACTTCAGAATAACTATAGGGTATTGCTGGTCAGTTGACCAGAATGACAGAGCAAAAATAGTGATAAACTGGCTTGCCAGCCATAATGACTGATTTACAAAGTATGCTAATCCAAACAATTGTAGCATAGATTTTTATGATGTGTAAACCCAGTCAATATCTTTCTAGTTCTATAGATAGCAGAGTTGAAAGCGCTTATGAATAAACTAATAATTGGAAAGTACTCATTAAAATATAAAATCCACATCCTTGAACTTAAGTATAGTTTTGGTATCATATATGGCTGCTTGGAAGTTGCTGATTGTGTTCTTTAAATCATAATAGCTGCAAGTAATTAGAATATCATATTAGCTAAGATATAAGAGGAAAAGTCAGAACCACTGCAAAAGCTTACCAGGTAGCCCAGAAGGTTATCAAAGTTGGGTATTAAAAAGTACTGAGAGGGCCAGAAAAACTGGAATAATTGTACTTGTCCCAATCTACCTTCCAGCATAAAACATCCACCGAAATTATCAAAGCAATCACTGCACCTGGACAAAATCCTGTTTAAATTGACCCAAGTAATCTTTAAGGGATTGTAATAATCAAGTGTGACAAAACTTAGTTTGTTGCTTAGTGTAGGCCCTCAAGTGAACTTTTAGAAAGCAAATGGCTCTGAGATACCTTTAAGATTTCTTCCCATCTTTAACAACAGTAATATCCCAATGCTTATAGATAGTAACCAAGTATTTTTTCTAGTTGTACCAGTATACTTGATCTACACATTGTAAAAAGCCGTAGTATGTTTATGAATAAATTACTGCTGTTTGGTTTTGCACAATATGTTAACAAGAATCAATAGATTGTGATAGAATATAACTTAAGTAAATGTAATGTTAAGATAACTTTGGATAGAGGAGGTGACTTTGAGCAATTACCATTGCATTATCAGACAATGAGGTTTAAGAATGCAGGAGTGTCTAGCAATTGATTTCTGGAGAAATGCAATAACCACATGTTTTATTATAGCCAAATTAAATATATACATATACATTAAAACTATTGAAGACTAAAATAATCTGTTCCTTAAATTTGTGAGCTTTTTTAACTATTGTTCATTTGCTGATATTAACAAATATGTAATATGTTCCTTGGGTGAAATATTCAGCTGAAAAACAAAAATAGGAGTGGAAGAATATGTGACAAAGTGGCAACTCTTTTGACAGGCTGTTTAGATGGGCAGTGGAAATGTACATTGCAAGGTCCTTCAGCCATTCATGGTCCACAGAAGCCTTGAATGGAAGTTCTGGAAATCTCCATGCATTACCAAATTATAGCTCATAATTTGAAAAAGGGAAATTAAATTTATGGCTAGAGACCAATCCTATTAGCTATGTTACTTTACATTAAGAGGAAATGAAAAAAAATCCTATCCACATCTATTATTTTTTGGAGGGTAGCAGCAAGCATGCCATTCAAAACATATGTGTGGTTTTTCCCACCCCAAAATCTTCTGCATCCCTTCTAAACATAGACATAGCAGTTAGAAACTGGTTTGATTTGCTCCATGATTCATTCAAAGCCTAGCACGTGCAAGATATTAGGGCACAAGAAAACAGCCTTGAAATTGCAAAATGCTAAATGGGCCATCAAAAATACACACATATGAATTTTGTGAGATATTGCAAGGTTTCTTTGCTTATAGGTTAGGAAATTTATCTTCAATTCAAAGTTAAGCTCACACAATAAATTATAAGCCATAATTATCAGATGTTGTGGCTTGTTTTATATACTGTGCTAAGCCAAGATTAAATGTAATTGCTTAGTATGATTTGTGAATCTTGTTGACTAATTTTTAAAAAAATAGTTTTATCTAACTTGATGTCCTTCAAATGGAAATTATGAGCATTCTAGTTCAACATATTTTGAGGTTTGAGAAGACTTGTTACAATGAGGCACCCAGAATTGTTTAAGATGATATACACATCTTTTAAATAAATAAAATAACATCATTATCTATATGGGATATATTTTTTGTTGTCCCCCAGTGTTCTCTCTCTGCAAAGCAAAGAGGGCCACAATATGATTTAGCTTCTCAGGTGTTATCTAGTAAACAATGATGTGGTTTTTCTCTTTGCATGATCTTTTTTCAGAGCATGGCAAGAAGGAATCTCCTTGAAAGAGCTGCAGCGTAGAGGAGTTTGCTTACTGAAACTTGAACTACATTGTCAAAAAACTGGGCTATATGGCCATCTGCTTGTAACTTTACAGCCTCAAAAACATGGCTTAGATATGGAGTTACCTTCCAATAATTTTGGGCCTGGTAAGTAAGTTGATTTTGAAAGAAAGTTTATTGTAAAATGGTAGGTGTAGCTTTAGATATTGGAAGGATAGACCTTCATGATGTGAATCTGTAATGATTTCAGAGTCTTTGAATTACAGCTGCTACATCAAACAATGAGAAAACTAGACTTCTTTTTTTATTCACACATGGAGTTATTAGCAGCGTAAATTTTGCATTCTTTTAAAAATATAACTGCCCAAGAAAAAGTTTATTACAAATATAATGTATCCGATGGACAGAGGTAAGGACTTTTCAGTATTCAAGTCAGTTTTGACAATTTACAGTAGAAGAATAAGCAATAATCCCCCCCCCAAATAACTACATTTATATAATTAAAATTTGGAGAAGGGAAGCTTGCCATCTTTTATCTTGATTGTAATCGTTCTTTGATTGTTGTGAACCGTGCAGAACTGTTGTGTATTGTATGGTAAAGAAGTTTAATAAAGTCTTACTGTTACAAAAGGTAAAGTAAACGAAAATACATTTCCCTGGGAATGGGGGAGCAGGAGAAAGGAACTCAAAATAACCATGCCATGATTCTGTATGGTAGAAAAGAGGAAAAGAGCCACTTCTGTTTGGCTTTCAAGATTCTGCTATTTTATCCTACAAAAATTGACTCCTTGCTGTGTTTTCTTCCTGATCTGGTCTATTTGGGAGTGTTGACAAACCTGATTGTTTCAGATTGAACTTGTCAGATTGTTCCCTTTTGTCATGATGACTTTTGTGAGTACAGTGACAGAGCATCTTGAAGATTCTCTCAAGATAGTCGATGACAGTAGTAAAGTTTCTGATTTCATTTAATCTGAAATACACTCAGAAAATAAATGTGCTATGGGCTTTACCTTCTAACCCAGGTTTTTTATTTTTTATGGGCTCACTATTTCATTGTGAAACAATGTATAATAGTAGAGGCTCATGCCTAGAATCTGATTTTCACATATTTGTAAAGTAATTTTGTTATAGTTCTGCATCCACTCGCTTAAGAAAAAGGCTTATAAATTCAGTAAGATTAACTTCTGAGTAAATATTTGAATCATATCCTTTCTCAGATTTGTTCTAAAAAAGAGCCTTTATCTTCCTTCCTACTTGGCTGGTCTCACATCATGTTAAGGCATGGTTTGTATTAATTGCACAGTTCAAACATAATGTTAATAAAATTTTAAGCCATAAATCATGGTTTACCAACCACAGTGGCTAAGTTCAGAAGCCAAAAACCAAACATTATAAGGTTTATTACAGTTTATGAACCAAATGACTGTAGCCTAAAAAGTGCCATTCTCCGAGAGCTTTATTAAACATCTTTCCATTATGTTGCAGTCACTGAGAATGCTACTTAGTATGTGCACAGTACTGCATTAATAGACACACACACACATGCATACACACCCTTTAGTTGCCTACTGGCCAGTCCTGTAAAACAATGGATTCTAGGCATATTTTTCAATTTGGATCGGTATTGAATCTCAAAGGTATTTTTATTTATTAAAAAAGAGATTTTAAGAACCTCCTGACATTCTTTTCCCTTGCCATAGATAGTTGGACTAATTGTATAATTAATTGTATGCTTGAATTGACACTTTACCATTGATACATTCTGTACTGTGTAATAATCAAGGAAGATCTTTTTTTCTTTTTAAAAATGCCATTTAGAAATAGGACGTGTGCAGAATTAGAGAAAGATGTTCTTTGAAAAGAGCTTCAGGGATTTTGAAAAGCACATCAGCTCAAGACAGGCTCTTTCTGAGGCGCAAGTTTTCTAAACTGAAACTATATGCTAAAACACATACTGTGTTAGATTCAGAGTTGCTAGGGGATGAACCTCCAACCTTGGATTCTATAATGCACAATTGCATTTTTCTTGTTGTGAATAAATCAAATACATGTGGAGGGTAATGTTGTGTGAACTTGCACAGGGCATTTCTTATGGCTTAAAGGAGAATAGATTCATTGAATCACGACAGCTTACATTAAAATTGTTATGATGAAAGATGCCCCACAGCTTATAGTTAAAACAATTGAGCTAATCAGTTTTGTTGGCAGTTCAATTACTTTCCAGAATAGAATGAATTCTCACTGGTAAACAGAGTGGATACAGGTGTTGGTTTTTTTTTTAACCTAAATGGGAATGGCATGTAAGAATGTGTATGTTTCTTACATTTATTATATTTACATAGAGGTATAATGTCTGTATCAGTGTTTCAAATTATTTATGTATATGCCAAGAATGGCTTCTAGCATCATTCCAGGGCTTTCTGGAAGGGTTTCCTTTTTCTGACCTATGCTAGTTAGAAAGCTTAAAGTAACTGATTCTGAACTGCCCCCTAAATCTGTTAACTAGGACACCTGATTTCAATGCTGGGGCTTTCAATGCTCCTTCTGCTTTTACTTTTTTGAATTTAAAAAATGGGGATTGCATCTTCTTTTAAGCTTTGTTTAGTCAAAGAGTTCTCTTGTGTATTCAAGTTTTGACCATGGATAAAGGGCTCCCAATGGCAAAATGTGTGGATTTTGCCATTGCATTGGAGCTCTCCAGAGCTCTCTGCTGGAATTTTAGTGCCTACTGGGAACTAGAGTGAGAAAACTTGGAAAGGGTTAAAATGAATTTAAGGTGTCCTAGTTAATTTTAGTTGATTCTCCTCAGATGGGTAGCAATATCACTTGGTATGACTGCCTCCTTTGTGACTTGTGATGTTTAGTAAATTATTATTGTTTTACATATAGTTTATTTCAGTAACCAACCAAGAGGGTTTTTTTCCTTATGAAAGCCTGGATTCTCTTGATGCATAAATGATGAATACATCGGACCTGACCTACTTTCAGTCTCATCAGTACAAACTACAGTCTGCATGAGGGCTTTTGAAAAATCTTATCTGTTATGTTATTTTTGAGTACATTGGAACATTGTGAAAGGTAGCAAAAGGATGGGTAGGCAAATTTAGAGTATGATATTTGCCCATTTTTTCTGTACAATTCAATCATTTTTAAATCTTATCACATTTTGATTGACACTGCACCAGTTTAGCATCAAAATGTTGTACTCTTATACATTATTATAATTTCCACATGTCCTGTGAGTGGACAAAAGACTTTAGTATCCTTTATAAAACAAATGCTTCATAGACTCTCTGGATCAAATGAAGGTTCACTATGCTATTTCTACAACATATAAACTTTTAATATTATATATTAACCTACCTCTCCCTTAGACATGAAAGTCAGCTGGATGACTTTGGGCCAATTACTTTCTCTCAGCCTGACCAATCTCACACTTATTATGTGGAAAATAGGATGTAGAAGCAATAGAGATGAGTGCTGTCTTGAGTTGCTCCCAAATAAATGGGTTAAAGTTAAATACATTTTTGTAATAGATGTTTGTTTGTATAACTTTCTATAATGTTTTAGTAGCCGAGGTTTGGTTTTGTTGCTTGATTAAGGGTTAAGACAGAATTAAAATGCCAAGAGTAAGGTATGTTATCTCATTTCAATTTTAGGATTACCAGTGTATGGTCTAACCTACAAATTGCCACATTTCAGCTTGTTGAATATGACTTAGAATTTAGAAGTCAATAACTAATCAATTTCTGAGTAAGATAATTTGTTTCAGTAATATGTACATCCATTTGATTGGGGGTTCATAATTCCCATATATTAAGTAATTTTTGAGCTTGCACAATTTTTGGAAGCCTTTTATACAATTAATTTCGTCTTTACATTTTTGTGTATCCATTTTCCCTAAATTATGCCTGCGGTTATAATTTCTTCCTTAATCAAGTTCTCTATACCAAATCGGAAAAAAGGAAAAATAAGGATTTTTTGAAGAATAGAAGTACTCAAAAAGGAAATAATTTGAATGTTTTAAATAATTTGAAAGGAACCATTCAATCCTGGTGATATCTTGGAATAACATCACTATTTCCTTCTCAGTTTATTTCTTGTACCTCATATTTCTTTCAGATAAGTTTGTCTTTTATGGGTGCAGTGAGAAATGTTGACACAATGTCTCTCACAGTCTTTGTATCTTCATGAAGCAAACACTCCATTTGCATAGTCAATATTCTTATTCATAGGTTTTAGATCAGGAAACAATTCATTAAGTTTTCTCACCAAGTAATCAATTATATCAACATTGTCAGCAGTTTCTCTAAAATCTCTGACTCTTAGATAATTTATTTGCGGTAATCTGATCTTGTAAATTCACCAAATTTATCTTATTATTTGAAATATTTTTTTGAACCTTTTCTATCTTAGATGTATTCCATATGCTAAAATCGTATGATTGGCTACCTATTTAAACTTTATTAGACATTTGCTTTGACATTTCCTTAAATTTTTTATTAATTTATTATGCCTGTTAAATTTTCTCTTATTAACATTATAGTCTTCTCCCATTTCAGTTTTAGGTATTGCTTGAATTGTCTGATCAATGATTGAATGAGAATCAATGTATTGTTTACCACAAAGACTTACCTTAGATGTTTCACCTCTCTTTGTCTTTATTGTTGATTTATTTCTGTTTTTTGCTGGAGGAATGATGAGCTTCATATATTTGTGGTTTCTTCAGATAGGTTGTAATTCCTTTGCTTTTCTGTCTTCTAATTTTATTCTTTGTCATCATTTATCTCCTGCAGGTGACATAGTGGGACTTTATGAAGCAGCTGGACAAAATAATCAGATCTGCACAGGAATTGTCACTCGAACAGCCTCCAATTCAATTACTATCGCAGTTGATGAGCCTCAAAGTAACCTTGTGAGCTTAGATCAGGAGAATTTGTACCGTCTGTTGAAACTTGCCAATGATGTTACATACAACAGACTCAAAAGGTAAACTAACAAAGAATGTTTATAGAACTTTTATATCTTAAATAAAGAATAACAAAATATTTAATAACCAGAATGCTTGAAAAAAAATAAGGAAACTAGTTATGTGAGGTATAGCTGGGAGATACCTGTCCATTTGCTCCATTGTACTGAGATTTTGGATGATAGCCTCATCTTCCTAGGTTCTGGAACTCAAAGATGCATGAATATTTCTGTATTTTTTTTGTTCACTGGTTTATTGGCTGCTTCATTTTTGTCATGCACTTTGTAGTGTATACATTGGTAACATATGTTCATACTCTGAGCCTTTCACTTGTGAAAACAATGAAACAAGTAGGCTCCAGATGGCATGTGCCCGTTGGGTTAAGTTGGCATGTGGTTGGAAGTTTTTTAGCCCTGAATGAAGAAGTAGGGTGGAAGAGAAGCTAATTTAACTTTACAAGACTGATAATACTATGTTCCTGGGAAGTTTTAGTATGGTTTTGAGACTATGATATGTCATTTCAAGCTGATCACACAGAATTTGTAATTATTTAAGATATTATTTTGGGGGTGTTTCCTAAGCTCTCAAAGAGTCATCTTTAAGATTCAGTTCCTTTTATTTTCTTCTCTTTGGAAGGGCTTTAAGTACACTTAATCACTATGGGTCTGGTCCAGCATCTGATCTTATTGATGTGCTGTTGTGTTCTTCTGAACCTAGTGCTGCCAGTGATACAAGTAAGAACTTTTTCTTTTCTTTTTTTCTTTAATGAATGGTGAAAAATATATGGAAATGAAGAATAAATTATTCAGAATGTGTGATTTAATCCACAACTGGTATCCCTAAAAAGCCTTCCCCTCTTGCCCTCTGTGATGCCTTTGGAAGAAAAGATACAAATGAACCTCATTTTCTTTGTTCAATGCCATTTTGTACTGACCTGACAAATATAAATATTTATTTCATAGAGAGTAAGCATTTATATCTGAGCAAGTATTGTTCTGTATTGTCTTTGTAGATCTTTACAGCACAAGTACAAGTGTGAATTGGTTTTCAAAATGATAGTTGTTGATTAGACTCTCACATCCTGCTAAGGCATAACACATTAATGCGGGGTGATTGTTGAGACTTAGACAGCAGGAGATAAGGCATATCTTGATAATTCTCTCTCTAGTTTTCCACCTTTAGTAAACATTCTAGCAAGGAAAAGAAATTTGTCCATTTGTTTTGTTTTTCACCATTTAGATGTAACTTGTAATTGTTTCCTGCATTTTCCTAGTTGAACATAATTGCCTCAGGTTTTGCTCCTGTTTAGTGTTGTATTATTCCTGAAACAAGTCAATTATTTTCATCTGTGCCTTAATCTCAGTATATACAGTACACTGCTTTTATTGCATTCAGGAAGGAAATCTTCAACCCCATGTTCACGAAAAGCATTCCATAATTCAAGTTTATTTATAATCTACTTTCTTTAAATCAAGTATCTAAACTTGCTTTTTCACATTTGTATATTTCTCAATTAATTCTGAAGAACAGAAATTTGATCTGTTCGTGTATGCCCCTCCGCCTCTAGTATAAAATCAAACCACATTTTCCAATTTTGGTTACTATCACCTCTCATACTCATAATCCAAATCCCAGATTTTGTCCATCCAGCACTCATGCTACGTACTCTCCATTTGTCTTTATAGATCCTGTGCAGATAATGTTCAACTTTTCATAAACTGACTTTTTATTTTTCTGTTTCCATTTATCAAGAACCCAAGTATACCAGTAGACACAATTCCTACCATTAGTAAGCATAGTAACATTGAAATATAGAGAGAGATTTTCCCCTTACATTGAATGAAACAATGTTCTCAAATTAAATGTCCTCAAAAATTATAGATGGCTATATAAGTTATTTTAAATAAATGAGCAAGCCTGTCTATGAGGAAAAGGTCATAGTCATATAATGCCTCCTTTCTAATATATAATAATGGCAGACAATGGTTTGTTTAGTGTTGTATGAACCTGATCACTAAACTCTGTTAAGTTATAAAACATGGTTTAAATTGTGTGAGTCAAAATACTGTAGCATATACATCAGTACAAGTTAAAATGAAGCCTTAGCTGCTGTATGTATGTGTGTGTGTGTGTGTGTGTGTGTGTGTATCTTATCTATGTAATTTAAAGGTAAATTATATAAAGGGCAACCAATAGAAATAAAGGACAATCGATATGTCAGAAAAAACACATATAATAACTTGGTTTATTCTATTCTGAATAGAAGAGAGAGAATACTTTTTAGAAACTCACCTACATTTAAAAATAAATATCCAGAAAGCTCACATAGAGAAACCTAGAATTTGGGAATAATATATAAAGACAGTTGGTAACCACCAGAGGTCAGCATTTTTCTATGAGCAGTACAGCCATAACAGTGCTATTGTCACTTTTCCCAAAATGTGCTGCTTCTGCAGGAAAAAAAACAACAGACTTAGGCATCCCTGTAAACCGAGAAAAATTCTGATAATTTTTGTGTTGCTTGTCTCTATTCTTGTCAGATTTCTTCTGTGTTTTAAATAGTTCCAGTTGGATTTTGGGAATCGTTCTATCCTGATGTATTAAAGAAAAGGTTAAAATGTGATGCTTTGATTGTGTTAACTGGGACATAGAGAGTATGCTGTTGTACTCCTGCTTTAGCCTTGCCATTAGGTCACCATAGTAGTAGAGATGCTGGACTGAGCAGCCTTTTGGTCCTGTACAGCAGTTCCTACATTCTTGGAAGGGATGAATCATAAAAGAAATAGCAAATTTTGCTGTTGGAAACTGCCTAAATAAATATGTTTATATGTTACTTTCTTCAGCATTATGTTTTTGCTAGCTGTGTGCAGGTGCACTTGGTGTCACTCAGAAGTAACTGAATTTCAGCCCCATAGCAAAAAAACAAGTCCATTTTCTTAAATATTAGTAGCATTTAAATAATAAAATCCAAAAATAGGTGCACAGAAAATGCCCAAACCAACTTGCCACAAATCATGACATACTTTGAGGTTGACAGTAAATACCGCCTCTTTTTCTGTTTTCCCTAACACTTGTAGTCTTTCCTTGAGAGAACATAAACATGACAGTTTATAAATTGCTTGTACCTTTAGTGAATTGTGAAAAATAAGTCTAAATACTGGGGCAAAATCATTGCTGTGAATGAATGTGGAATTTATTTCATGAATTAATCTTTCAGGTAACTTAGCTTAAGTGGTAAAAAGCTTCTGTCTTTTTACTAAAACTATATCATATCTCTCATGTGCATCATAGATGCACTGTCCTGTTCTTGAATCTGTTCTGCAGAAAAATGCCAAATGCATTATAATTTTCTCTAGTGATTATTTATGCACCTTGGCAAATAGGCACCTTATCAGCTTGCCTGACATGCTTTCCCTCATTCTGCATTTGTCAGCTGATAAATGAATCTGATCTTGTGAATAACTTAGAATGCATTATCAAATGCCAAGTGGAGCCAAAAGCTTCTTTAGCATTCATGATGTATAGGACTTTTGGCTTTTGAAGTGTAGCTTAGTCATGACTAACAAACCAGAGCTCATTCATGCTGTCACAAGATCTGGAATCTTTCATTTGTACTCTTTTGCTAAGGGCTGCAATATTGCCTTATTCATCAGCAAGAAGTGGAACATAAGTATGGTAAATGGAAAATGCACTAAAATGTTTCTTTAAAAACAAGAAAAGTCCCTATAGCTCATGTTAAAATAATTGAAGGTTTAAGATGTTCAAGTGTTCCCAACAATTTTTAAAGGTTGACTTTACATGTGGAAAGAGGATTTACTTAAACATTCTTATTTTTAGGCATTAAATATTTATTTTATTTTGCACGTGACATTTTTAATGATAAAAACATTATAAAACAGCAAAAAAGGTTAAAATGCCATGTTGCTTGGATCAGAAATCCCCAACCTTTCCGGTTCTGTGAACTGGCAGTGGGGGGAAAGGGATAGTTTTGTGCTCTTGCCCGCCACTTGCGCAGCCCAGTTCCCAATGGGCCTCAAACAGGTACGGGTCCATAGACGGGAGGTTGAGGACCCCTGGCTTGGATAATCTAAAAAAATAGTTAGAAATGTAGGATGATAAAAAATAGTTAGAAATGTAGGATGATGATAACTTTCTAACATATTCTTTACCAATCATTACAAAACTTGCTGTTACTATGATTTTACAAACATCTGTAATTTGCTTTTTGTGTTTTAAACAAACTTGCTATTTGCATTATTTGAATAAAATCTGCCTGAGAAACAGTTTTATGGTAAAACTGTAATGCTGGCACCTCTGTACTTCTTGCAGAAGAGCCATTCCAATTGGGCAGCTTAGCAGCAGCAAATTTGAAGAAAGAATTCTTTTCTCGCCGCTCAGAATGCAAAACCTTTTGGCACCCTGATCCCGCAAAGTGACATTGCTGCCCCTTTTGATATGCCAACTCCTATAGCTAGAGTGAAATTAAATTGTCCATTTAGTGTCTTTTGCCGGTCTGAAATTAAAAATGCCTGTTCCAATAGCATTTGCCAAACTAACAATGACAACAACTCCTACTTACCAACTGCTCCCCTATACAGTATATAAAATTGCTATTTATATTTTAGTTGCTTTCTTCTGGATTTGGGTGAATAAATGTTCTTCTGCTTCTTCCTGCAATACTGGCATAAAACACGCTAAAAGCCTCCTCGTCTTTGTAATTGAAAAGTTGGTGGGATGAGGAGGCGGAGTTGGACAGTAATAATAATGGTATAATAATGACATTGGCATAATATCAATTCCTGAGATCCACCCAAGGAAAAAAGAACATATAACATTTTTACTGAAGTGAGGGTCTTCTGAAAGTTCCCTTTTCCCCATTCCAGTTGGGGCTGCATACTAGAGGCAGAAGTGAAATATTGCACAGGATGTTAATTGACAGTTCCCCTCCCTCCTCTGCAACTATCATCAAGAAAAAAAAGGGTGGTCGTGAATTAAGAAATAAAGGTACAGTATAGACATTTATGTAGTTATTTTAAAGGTTGCACAGAGCACTCAAAACATGAGGTTTCAGGAAAACAAGACAGAAGCTGATATACCTGTTAGTTCCACCTGCATCCTTCCAGCAGCCACCATTGTCTGCAGGCCATTTCAAGGTAGTACTTCTTGCTCTTCTCACTTCACTGTCTAATGCTTCACTGCTAATTATTAGCAATTGTTCTATGAAACTCTGCTGCTCATCCAATTATACATTAGTGTTCAAAGCTATAATTAGGGTTTTGGCTCAGCATATTGTTTAAAATGTTTGTACTTTTAGGAAAGAAAGGTGTCCGCTTTTTCAAGGAATTTCCTAGTAAGAATGTATTCTGTATGGTGAAACAGTTAAAGGCAATGGGCTGTTAAAGCACATTAATCTTCTGTTATTCTTTCAAAGACTGAAAATATTTGCAGTAAAACAGAAACTTTCCTGAGAGATGCCAGGCCTCAGTGGGGGCTTAGAATTGCTCTTAGTAATTATCAGGATGCTTCCTTTGCTGAGAATCTGGTCAATGTCCAAAAACAGCCTCTTCTTATTTGTATTGTACTGTACTTGCTTTCTCGCAAATGTTCTTGGTGAGACTGAGACCTGAACAAATGTTCCTGCTGCTTACAGAGCTTTTGAAGTTCTACAATGAATCCCTGGATGCCTCTCAGAAGGAGGCGGTTTGCTTTTCATTGGCACAGAAGGAGCTTGCTATCATTCATGGACCACCTGGAACTGGCAAGACAACAACTGTAGTGGAGATAATACTCCAAGCTGTGGAGCAAGGCTTGAAAGTGAGTGAATGAATACATTTTTCTGAGGAGACGCCTATTTCCAGGTCAGAGTGATTTAGCCCGGAAACTTAGTTCTCTGAGGCCATCGTACTACTCTGAGGCAAGAATGGAAAATGAACCTTGCCATTCATAATGATGCGCATTTCAGCTTTGGTTAAAGCAGAATGTGGGAAGTAGCTGGCCGAGTGAGGGGTATTGCCTACTGTTCTTAATAGACATGCAGCCTCCTTCATGCTTAAACACTTCTCAGTGTTTTAAGCCCAGTATGGCAGGTGAATTGGGAACGGTCACAATACATACAGATGGTAATCATGCTTTTCTCAGAGTATTAGAATTTAGAATAGACTAGAGCCGAAAGGGACCATGGAGGTCTTCTAGTCCAGCCCCCTGCTCAAGCATGTACCTTTTCTTTATGTATACTGAGAGTATTTATACCAAGACAAATTCCTTGTGTGTCCAATCACACTTGGCCAATAAAGTATTCTATTCTATTCTATTCTATTCTATTCTATTCTATTCTATTCTATTCTATTCTATTCTATTCTAACCAGGAGAATCTATACCATGGAAGTCAAACTGGTGGCCTGCTGGCCAGTTGCGTCATGTGCTGGCCACGCCCACCCCCATTTTAATGAAGGGGAGAAAGTTATGATACGTTACATGACAACAATGTGTCATTGCGAGTTTGACACCTCTGACCTATAGCATTTCAAATAAGTAACTGTCTAGTCTCCTAAAAAACTCCACTGATGGAGCACCCATGATTTCTAAGGGCATGTGCAAGAATTGGCATATGTATAAGACTTGCAGAGTAGGTATGTGTGAGAGAGAAAGAAAGAGAGAAATGGGCTTTGGGACCATGAAGTGCTGGCCAGATGCCTCATATTTGGGTGTAGTCAATACTTAATTGTATTGTCAATTACTAATTACTCTAATGTTTTGGGGAAAACAGAGTTGGAACTGATGAAAAGCTTGTACATAAGTTTGTTTGGAATTGTATGCGAATGTTTGAAAGAATGCTTTGGGCAAGAATGATGTATTTGTTACTGTATAAAAATATGAGAGTGTTTGATAACTCCATCCTTCACTTTAAAAGGGAGGTATGTAATAGAACAGCAGGTTGATATTCTAATACAGTTTAAGTAAAATGTTAACTGGCCTATTTTTTAACAAGGGGTCCAAAAGGTTTTGGGGAGAGGGAAGGAATAATTTTACGAAGAGAGAAAATAAAGGAAAAGGAATTGAACTATAAATATAAAACAAATAATAATTGGTAGCCCTTATAGAAAAATAAACTACAGTATGGTAATATTATTATACTCAGAGAAAGAGTTTTGTGTGTGTTAAAGTACAATTCCCAATGCTCTCTGTTCACAAAAGTTTATTGTTAAATACAGTTTTAATTGTTTCATTATAAACTGGACCTCTAGGTAAATAACCTGAATAAACTAAACCCCTCTCCCATATCTTAAGATACTACACTACTAGGAAAAGAAATAATAGAAGGTAGGATAATATTAGTATGAAATCAAACCTTAAAACAGAAACAAATAATTTTGGGTTGGTGGCAGAGGTATTTTTAAAAACTATACATTTGTCCTCAGAATACATTTAGAAAAACATTAGGTCATATGTATGGGAATTTGGATATAATATAAACCTTGGAAGATTCTAGAAAATGTCCATTTGGCGGTATCAAAAGATTGGATAAGTGGGTCATATGAGGTCTGATTCTCAGCAGAAAGAAACATAATTTTATTTCACGAATACAAGTTTTTAAGAATCACCACGTTTATTTTATAGTTTGGGTTCTTTACGATGAATAATATTCTTATTTCCGCTTAGAAGCTAGGGAAAAACTTTGGAAGTGTTACAAATTCATCCAGGATACCCATACTTCTAGAAAACCTTTGTTTTTCCTACTAATCTCTCTCCTCGGCTGAAGCACAGCTGTTTCTGCTCAGAGTTCCTGGATCTTCTGAGGTTCAGTGAGATATACTAACAAAGCTTTGGAATTAAAGGGTATTCATCAGGCACATAAAGGAAAAAGACAAAGCTGAGAGATCCTTGGCAGGTTAGAAGTTAAATTTGGCTGGGACTAGTATCTCAAAGTAACTTTGGTCCTTGATCCTGGTTTAATGCTTTGAATTTGTACTGTTCTTTTTAGCTCAGAGGTCTGGCATATAATAAAGTCCTTCAAACTCCGGGTCAAATCCTGATCCAGGATTGACTTGAGAATAATCTCCTTTCCTGGCACTTATAAAATAATCTCCTTTCTTTTCCTTTTGACATGGATGCTTATAGTGTTTCTGTAAACTATAGGTACGAATCTGTATAAGACTGTAGCTACTGTATTTCAGTGAAGAGAATTAATACTGTTTAAAGAGATATTTTTCTTCCTAGGTTCTCTGTTGTGCTCCCTCGAATATTGCAGTCGATAACTTGGTGGAAAGGCTCTCGAATCATAATCTGCGGATCCTGCGTCTTGGTCGCCCAGCTCGTCTCCTAGAGTCCATACAGCACCATTCACTGGATGCTGTCCTGTTGTGTGGAGATAATGCCCAGATTGTAGCAGATATCAGGAAGGACATTGATCAAGCATTTGTAAGTTTTGTATTACATTTTTACAGCCATTATTTGAAATAATCTGTAGAATAAATTGTGGATATAAATCTATGCACTATAAATCTATGGTGTTCTTGGTGACATTATATTCTTGGAATAAGTAAGTGCTATGCAGAAATGATTGAATATGTGTCTTCTTGAAATTGAACCAAAACTCAGCAGGTATATAAACAGTGTTGGGTTGAATGACTAAAATTAAAAATATCTAATAATTGACTCTCCCATAATGTGATACAGATAGTCCTCGACTTACAACAGTTCACTTAATGACCAAGTTACAATGGCAGTGAAAATTGTGACAACCATTTTTCACACTTATGACCGTCGCAGCATTCCAATGGTTACTTGATTTACATTCCAATGCTGGACAACTGACTCATATTTATGACAGTTGCAGTGCTTAGGAGTCATTTTGTGACATTCTGACAAGCAAAGTCAATGGAGAACCCAGATTCATTTAACAACCATGTTACTAATTTAACAACTTAACACATGTGGGAAGAAAAGTCGTAAAATGGGACAAATTCACTTAACAAATTTTTCACTTAAATATAAATTTTGGGCTCAATTGTAAGTTTGTAAGTTGAGGACTACCTGTATTCTGTAGAGCAGGGGTGTCAAACTCAAGGCCTGGGGGCTGAAGCTCCATTTTTGCTGGCAGAGGGTTGCAGAAGGCCGTTGCAGCCAAAAATGGAGCTTGGGAGCCCGTTTTCACTGGACAGAGCACTTGGACCACACAGGCGCCCGTGACATCGAGCTGGCCATCCTCACCCTGGCCCCCTGAGGCCCCCCTGATGCAGTCCTCAATGAAACTGAGTTTGACACCCCTGCTGTAGAATATTCAGGATTCTTTAGGATCCAGTCTTTTCTTTCCATTTTAGCTTTCTAGCACTTGTTAAGATCAAATTGAGATTCCTCACTCAGTTTTTCTCTGTCCTTCTCTCCTGAATACTTTCTGTGTTGTTGTTGTTTTTTAAACCAGAAAGTCCAGTTGCCTCTTGAAAAAGCACCTTTGGGACAATCACTCTGGTTGTTAAGCAAATTCAGCTTTCCCCATTGACTTTGCTTGTTGGAAGCTTCCTGGGAAGGTCACAAATGGCAATCACGTGGCCCCAGGGCACTGCAACTATTGTAAATGCATGCTGGTTGCCAAGAGCCCAAATTTTGATCACATGATCAGGGACACACCTCATCTGCCATAAGTGTGAGGTTAAGTGTTAATCACTTTTTTTTCCAGTACCATCGTGACTTCAAATGGTTGTTAATTGTATAATCATACATTGAGGACTACCTGCAAAGCAGGCAGAAAAGAGAGGCATTTATGTGAGGGTTGAAAGGAGAAAATGTTAAGCAGCTTGCTTATTTGTTATCTTTTAAATTCTGCTGTGCTCAGCATGATGAGTGTTTTCAATGGCACTTTTTAATACAGTTCACCTTAAGATTTTCTGTAAAGTTTAATGTTTTTTTATTGTTTGCTTTGTCCTTTTCAGGACTAGAAAATTGATTTTAATAAAAGATGAGGTTTGGGGAATTTTGAGAGTAATCTTTTCACCAAGGATAACTCAGCTGCAAACTTCTGTAGAGGCATGCAATATATTCTAGCTGTATTTCGTCCCTAGAGAACTTGTAAGGCTGAAGAATGAAAGGTACTATAGGTCAAGGATTGATTGGCTCGCACTAAATGGAAAGTCAGCTGCCTTTGCATTACACTCACCATTCCGAGGATCCTCGAAGTCATTTGCAATAATTTTCTTGATTGAGCCAAAATTAATTATTCAGAGGAGTATAAGAGATTTATAATTTATACAGAGAAACTATAAAGAGTTCTCACTGGAGAACAAGGACAGTGATCTCTAGTCCTCCCTTAGTTCTCCTGGTAGTGATAGTACCTCGTACCAAGTTTCATCTGTGCTTTTTTGTAAGAAATCAGAAGATCACTTTAAACTAAAAAGAATTAGAGCAAATGACTAGCACTTTGGCCACTTCTCTTTAAATATCAACTCCTTTGTATTCTAAAAATTTAGATAAAATTAATTATCTAAAAATTATGTATTAAAAAATTATTTCACTTTTCACCCTGCCTCTGAAAACTGTATTTTTTCCTCCCAACTCCTTTGCTTTGCCTCATCCTTAAAATGTTCAGAAAAGAAACTAGTGAAAAACATAGGATCACTGTGTAGGAAAACATATTATAGTGGTTGCCAGTTGCCTACTGGTCATAATTTAAGATGTGAAATTTTGAATTCCTCTATATCAGGGGTCTCAAACTCGCGGCCCGCGGGCCAATTGCGGCCCGCAGGATGATATCCTGTGGCCCCCACCGTGATATGAAAGTATAATATTAGTGCGGCCCACAGGAGGAATGGACCTCTGAAGGAAGTCCCACCCGCCATTCCTCGTCGTGGCTGACATTCGGGCCCGGCAAGTCCGAGCAGCCAGCACATAGAACAAGGCGGCGCCGGATGTTGGAGAAGCAGAGCGGAGCCGGAGATCATTAGCCGCCTCTTTCGCAGCACAAGAAGCCTCCCCCAACTGGCCAGCTGCTCTCCTCCTTCTCTGCCTGTTTGTTCTGTATGGCCGAGGAGGAGGAGACCAGCCGGCTGGTTGGGGGAAGCTTTCTGCGCCAAAAGAGGCAGCTACTAATCTCCGGCTTTGCTCCGCTTCTCCAATGGTCCAGCTTCCCCTCTTGCTCCTCACAGTTGCCCTGAGCTGGTGCGGTTCTTTACTTGGGCAGCCAGACGCCCGCAGCAGTGCCTGCAGCAGCAACAGGCAGTTCCGCCCGGGCTCCGCTCAGGTGTCCGGCTGGGGCTGTCTGGAGTTGCTACCGCCGGCGCAGCTCCGCGCAGCTCCTGTCCCACGTTGCCTTGGGAAGGGAAAGGCAAAACCAGGAGCCGCTGACAAGTAGAAGCTGAGTGGAAATGACGTCTGCAGTGCCACTGTGGAATCCCTTATGTGGCCCAGCCTCACCCAGACTCTGCCTCCAGCAGCCCCCAGGTAAATTGAGTTTGAGACTCCTGCTCTATATCATTTGAGAGACTGTCAACACCGCTATGAACTTGTCCACGTGGCAAAAGAAGCTCTTTTGAAGGAGCTCCCACTGACATAGGCGAGGCAGTTCTGTTTTCAGGAATGGGCCTATATTCCTCTGCAATGCAGGTAGTCCTTGCTTAATGACCAGTCGCTTAATGATAGGTCGAAATTACAAAGGCCTTGAAAAAGTAAAACGTTTCCAACTACCACAAAATGTCACAACCCTGCCACGATGATATGATTGGCAACCATTTGCTAAGCACCCCCTCATGTGATTGACACTTGCCATCTTTCCTGCCAGCCTCCCCAGAGAGTCGATGGGGAAGCTGGCAGGAAAGGTTGAAAACTGCTGCCGACTACCAAAAGCACTCCGTCTCATCTGGAAGCTGGGTGAAAGAGCTCTTTGCCGATCCGTGCCTGCTTGAACCTTGGCAACTGAAATTCATTCACACATGGACCCCAGAATCCCAAACTACCTGGATGTTTTTAATTCCAGTAACTTTAAGATGTGCGGACTTCAACTCACCAGCATGCTGCCTAGGAAAGGCCATACATTTTAAATCTGAGATTGAAAAACACTGCTCCAATATTTGGCTCCTTTTTTCCCCTTATTTAGGAAAATAGCAAATAAATCCCTCTTTCAGTTTTGACTTTTGACTGTTAATTGCTTTCAGTGATACTGATTTTCATTTTGATTTTTACTATGCAGAATTATACAGTAGTGATTTTTTTATTACTGTAAGCTGCTTTGAATATTTATAGAAGCAGAAAAAAATATAAAAAAAATAATACTGTTATCAACTGCTTCAGTGGTCATGTTTATACTAAACTACAACTCCCATTATCCCCAGCTAGTTATGGGGTCAGATTGGAGAAAATCCACCTAAAAAGCATTTGTGGTATTCTAATTACATTTTTATAAGATAAATCCTACTGCTGTTTTACTATTATTTTGACTACTAAATGTGTGCTGTGCTGAGATCACTGTCTCTCTTATGCAGATGAAAGCTAGGAAGACCCAAGACAAAGGAGAGAGAAAACATTTTTTTAATGAAATTAAGATACTGAGAAAGGAACTGAAGGAACGAGAAGAAATGGCTATGTCTGAAACTTTGCAAAAAGCTCATGTTATTCTTGCTACGAACACAGGTTAGGAGAATTTTTCTAGATTTGCCTATAAGGTTTAATCAAATGGTTACTATTATTAATCTAACTGTTCCATTTGTAACTACATTCTACTTAAACTGGAACTCCCAAACTGCATAGTATATCTTTGAACTGTTTCTTATCTCGGTATCTATAAACATGAACAGTGCACTGTATTTATTATTTATTTATTTATTTGTACTGCTCTTTATTATTTTTTCCTGTAGCTCAAGCAGAGGTGGTATTCAGCAGGTTCTGACCAGTTCTGGAGAACCGGTAGCGGAAATTTTGAGTAGTCTGGAGAACCGGCAAATACCACCTCTGACTGGAGATTTTACAATATCCTTCCCCTGCAACACCCATCAAGCCACGTCCACAGAACCGGTAGTAAAAAAATTTGAATCCCACCACTGAGCTCAACGTATCTTCCTCCTCCTATTTTTTAGAGAGGGAGAGAGGGAGAGGACTGGCTTAAAGTCACCCAGCTGGCTCATGGCTAAGATGAGACTTGGATACACGGTCTCCTACTTTCTAGCCTGAAGTCTTAACTACTAGACCAAGCTAGGGTCTCCAATCTTACTGCCCAATTTTTCTTTCGATCACATTTTATTCTGTGATTGGGTGATTTGATAACTAATCAATAGTGTGTGAATTTGAACAGTAGACTAATACTGCTGTTCACATTTTACAAAGCACTGCTTGCCATTTTCTTGTTCCATTTAATGAAGGAAAGGAATTTATGCATTATTTATAGGAATAATTAAGCCCTTGAACCAGCAAAGGAGGGAATTTATTTTTGTTTCCAAGCGCATACTCATGTGTACAGCCTCTTGGAGAGGACTCAACCAAACTGCAATTATTTATGTTTGGGGAACTGTTTCCGATCCCATAAGGATAATTTTCAGGAAACCTTGCAGATAATTTTGTGTAAAGAATACGCATTAAAATGTCTAACGTACAAAGTTGATTTATGAACACAATATCAGTTCCAATTTCTTACTGAAAATTATATGCCCCTTCTGCTCTGAAATTTCTCATACCAAAGAGAATTCTGGGCAAGCTCTGGATGTTATTTAAAAGAAATACTTTAGTCAACAATCTATAGAAGGCATAAAATCATATTCACTCCTTTGTCAATTTAATTTACTTCTGGAAAGGTGCCAAGGCCTGATGACGATGTTGTACAGTCTTATGCTGTTCATTCTACCTTAAGTGATGTCCTTTAAAAAAGGGCCATATTCATTTGCGGAGGGGCAAGATACTTCAAGGGGTATTCGCTTCTACAGAAGTAGACACCATTTCTGCAATTAGTGTGGTAAATATCAACATGTGTTGTCCACACCAGGGGTCGCCAACCTTTTGGACCTCAAGGACCACCAAACTCATAATTTTATATCACGAGGACCACTAATATGAATTTTTAAAAAGAATTTTTAAAAAGAAAAGAAATATTATTTCTTTTTAAAAATTCATATTAGTGGTCCTCGGGATATAAAAATTAATGTTTATATTAAAGGTAAATTTAATATTAAAAAATAATTTTATATATATGTATGTATGTATATATAATATAATTGTTAATGTAAAAATGGCTTGGTGGTCATATGACTGGGTGGGTGGGCATAGCCAAGTTGACATCACTTCTTTGTTGTTGTTCTCTCTCTCTCATTTCTCTCTCTCTTCTCTTTCTCTCTTGTCTCTCTTTCTCTCTGTCCCCGGGATGGGGGGTGAAAGGTGTGGGAATCTGACATGGTTGGTCGTCTTGACTTTGCTGCGGAAGGTAAGCCGAGAGAGCAAAATAAGGTGGGAAAAGCTCCAGGTTGTTTTGAGCGCCTCCTCGGCTGTCTAGGGAGTGAAGAGAGGGGAAAATTCCTAAGGAATTGGCCCCGTGGGGTGAGCTTCATTGATTCCGCCGACACTTGCAGAAGCGGCCGACACTTGCAGAAACGGCCGACTTGTGCTGCGGAGTTGTGAAAGGGAAGGGAGAAACTCTTGGAGGAAAGATCATCAAAAGTTGCAGTCCTTCACACGCACCCCTCATCCCCCTCCCCAAATCCTGAAGATCCCCAGCTTAGAAAAGGGCTACCTGGGTAAAGGGCAGCAAGAGGCTTTTTTCTCCTGGATTAAGACCTTTGCCATGTCCAGGTGTCAACTCTGCAGGGCTTTTTGCTTTGTTCTCTCTCTCTCTCTCTCTCTCTCTCTTACCACCCCTGTTGCCGACATGGGTGCAACCGGGCGGGCGTGGACAGGGCCAACCAGGGGCGATTGTTCAGTTCGGCAAACCAAACTCTCCCTACCACCTGGCACGAGGTGGTCAAATTTCACCACTGCTTCAGAGGCTTCAAACGAGGGGAGTGGAGGAGGAGGTGGCTTATAATCATGGTTTTTATTATAAGCCTCCTCCTCCTCCACTCCCCTTGTTTGAATGCTCCCCCAGGCTGGCTGGGAACCAATTTGGTGGTCAGTGAGCCCCGCCCCCTCTAGTCCTCTCCCAGCCTTTGAAATTGGCTTCAAAGGCAGCGAGGAAACCGCAAGGGGCTGCTGCCAGCCACGTTTGAATGTTGTTCCTCTAACCTGGAGATTGGAGAACAAATGCTACTCGCATTTGCGCGGCATTAGCATTCTGCCTTCGCCACTACCGCTTCGGCCCATTTGCACTGCGTCCCCCCCGGCAACAGCACTATTACTCATTCCGGCCAACGAGGGTTGTGCTCCTTTTTGCACATTGTACCACTTGCAAATTTACACATTGCATATGCCACCCCCTAAGGAGAAGATTTCCAGTCCCACCACGAGCCAGTCCCATATTCCAGAGCTGTAGTAGTCAGGACTGGCCCTTTGGTCATCATGGAGCAGCTCCTCAACGTCAGGCCGGTGCACCCAGGTGGAAGAGCTGCTCTGGGGTGATCAAAGGGCTAGTCCTGACTGCTGCAGCTTTGGAATATGGGACCAGCTTTCCCACCAATGTCAGCAAGCCACCCCGGGGCAGATTTCCCTCTCCCGCCTTTGGTCTTACCTTCCAGTTCCAGCTTGCGTGGCTCTACTGAAGGTAAGATTTGCGAAGGGTGGGGGCCAGCGGTCAGTGGGCCATGTAGGCGGTGCAGCCTTGTATTCCCGCGGGCCATGTGGGCAGCGCAGCCTTCTGTTCCCGCACAGCCTGGATTAATTATTTTTTTGGGGGGGGGGGGTGCTTTTGGGGGGACATTTCTCTTTGGACCACCAAAATTTTCTCGCAGGCCACCAGTGGGCCGCGGACCACCAGTGGGACATAACCCACTGGTTGGCAACCGCTGGTCCATACCATCACAGCCAACCCAGGAAAGGGAATTATTCTCAAGTAACAGGTCTCCAACCATGTCCACCATTTTGTGTGGATTTTAATTGCCTTGATGACTTTTAATTACCTTCAGGTGAGTTGAGAATAGAAGTGTGATTGAACTGGTATAACAACTGATTTGATGAGCACACGCTTTGCCTGTGTGCTCCACATTTTAAAAAGCTTAATACCTTCAACTGCAGCTGAAGAAACAGCTGAGGCATGGCAAACTGCTCTACCGTGCGAATCAACTGCGCTAACAAAAATACATAAAGCACAGGAAAGAGCAGGGGTGGACGGGAGGACCCATATACTCGTCAAAGCGAACTGGTTCGGAGCCAGCTGAACGTTGGAACAAGGTGTTCGTCCGAACCGGGAGAATCCTACCCCTGCTTGAGAATAATCTTTTCTCCCAACCATTGTTGAAATAACTTTAAGAACTTTTTGGTACTTGTCTTCCTCTAGGTTGTTTTGAGGTGCTTGGTCTAATAACTAGGTCCACCATCAAGGTTTTGAAATAATAACATGTTTTCCGAAAATGTGGGGCTATTACGACAAGCATTTGCCCTTTAGCTTTTCTCATAGAAACCTGGTTTGCACTGTTTGTCAGAAGTAAAATTTCAAACATTGTGGTTTTAGAGGCAAAAGGCGAAATTATTTTATTTGTTAAAAGACAATTGGGAATAGATGACTCTGCACCTTTCCATTTGTTTATGTATGTATGCTTGTGTATGTGTTTGTGTGTGTGTATCTACAGTCAGCTTTTTGTTTCCTTTATAAGCAGAAACTCTGCATATGTGTTCATGTTACGGACAGTTACATATTTTCTGCAGATAAATTGGTTTGAAATCAGTGGCATAGACACCAGATAAGAATGAAGTTTTACAGTGTGGAAACCTCAATTTCTCTGCAATAGGTTCTTTCTCTGTCTCCCACTCCCCACCCCCCGCCTTTTTTAGAAGCATGTTCCCCTTGCAGCAATTACCCAGTTTTTATAAGGAAAGGTAGGAATCATTGTTCTGCAAGGTTATTTGGTGCAACCCAATCTTGTCACTTTATTGCTGTGCTCAGCAGGCAAATCTTAATTGCTTTTACCCAAGGAGCAGAACTGGCTTTTAATTAACTGAGTTCAATACACTAGGATTTTCCCAGAATGGTTAAACTGGGGAATAAACCAGGACTGGCGTAATTTTACCTGCAACTCAAAACTCAGACCCATATAACTGACTATTCTTTAAATATTTTTCTTACCTTTCAAACTGTTATGTGTGTACAACCCCTGAGGGCTGTACAGAGAATGTTATGATATCTCAAAAATTACTTCTCCTTTATCTAAAAACTCATATATAGATACAAATGCAGATTTGCAGCTTTTACTGTTTACTTTCTGAACTAAAAGCTGCACTCATTCACACATCCTTACTTCATTCCAGCTTAGCTGGTCAGGCTAAGAAGAGAAACAAGATGAGCCACCTCTATAACCAAGACTTGATCGGTCCCAGACCTCCCTTGACATTTTAAATCTCATTCCTGATATTTTTCCACTAGATTGCCACTGCCTCGTTCATTTGGGAATAATTATTATTTTGAGAACTATCTTTTTTATTTTATTCAAAGTCTTCATTTTTGTCCTTTTCTATGTGTTCCATAAGTTGAAATCATTTTGAGCATCCCTTTCTGGGGCTGGATTGTGATTGCTAGTCTAGAAGGAAGTAAAAGTCTAAGAATAAAGATTTTTTTCCAGTAATTCCAATACTTCATTTTCCCTGCTTGTAAATTGTGTTTTTAGCTATTACATGGCCATGCGGCCCTATGATTTATGGTGATTTTATTGTTAGGTGGCTTCATTGATGGCATCCTTGTTGTCAGCCAGTTTAATGGGTAGGCTGCTTCCATACCATTGCCAAGAAAACTACACAAAAGCAATACATTTCTGGACATTAGTTGGTGGGAAAAAGAGCAGGAGGATGCTCTTGCATTCAAGTCCTCCTTGTGGGCTTCCCATTGGTATCTATTTTCCTACTGTAGAAATGGAAGATTCATGTAGTTTGACCTGCCGTTGGGTCCAGAGAATGTTCTGGAAAGCTAAACAAAAGGGTAAAGGTTATAGGCACACTGCAGCCTTAAGTTCTTCCATAGGTATAAACTCAGCAGTTTTTTTCCATTATAGGCTTGCAAATCAATTTCATTTCATTTCACACATAAATGTGCCAGCTCTTACTTCTGCCCCTTCTGATAGATTTCTCATAGCAAATAAACAGTTGTGAATGAAAAGGTAGAATTTACAAAGAAGGTGCAACTGGCATGACCACGTCTGTGTTGTTTTCTGGCAACAATATAAAAGAGGTTTGCCACAGCTGTCTTCTGGGATTTTTATGACTTCCTAATTTAAGTCTGCAGCTCTGGGATTTGCTGGTGGTCTCTTATCCACCGGTTAACCAAATCCAACCCTGCTTAGCTTTCTGAACTCTGTCTTAGTTACGTCAGTAGAAGAATGTTCTTGTGGAAAGGAAAATTGACCATACCCTTGGAAACTTCAATCGCATGCAATTGAGGATCATACGGCAACAATGACGCAGTCCAGTACTGTGAGGAATTATGGAGTCCTTGGTGCTCTCCTAGCTTTGTTGTTTGCTTGCAAATGTTTCATTACCTGTTTAGATAAAATTACCTAGTCAGGTAATGAAACATCTGCAGGCAAACAACCACACTCGGAACGCCCCAAGGAATCAGAAGACAGAATCAGAAGATCTTTTAAGACAGCCAGTCCTTTTCCATTTTTGCAGTGCTGAAAGGCTCAGCGTAGTTTTTAATCTTGTTTTTAATTAGGTGCTTCTTCTGATGGCCCGCTGAAGCTTCTTCCTGAGAACCACTTTGATCTTGTGGTGATTGATGAATGTTCGCAAGCTCTTGAAGCAAGCTGTTGGATCCCACTGCTAAAGGTTAGGAAGTGTATCCTGGCTGGTGATCACAAACAGCTGCCTCCCACAATCATCTCTCACAAGTAAGAAAATGTCCTCCGTTATCAATTAATTATTTTAAAGGTGCTGGGAAAAAGCCTATCTGGAAAATGGCCTGTGAATTAGAATACCCATCTTTGCATTTAATTGCACAGCAGATAGAGATAACCTTCCTTGTTTTTTAATGAGATTTGATTATATATGTCAGCTGCTTAATATAAAGCAGAAAACTTAAATCAACTAACTTAAGATAATAAAGTAATTATTCTCTGAATTATAATGAACAGAGCACACTCTTGAACTGAAGAATAAGAAAGCAAATGTTTGTCATGGATAATTTTATATTACAGTCCAATCATTTGAGAGGCCTTTAGAGGTTTTCTGCTGAGGGGATGGTTGAACTGAATTTAATTTTCCTTGTGCACATTTTGGGAATTTCTCTTATAACAAGAACAGTGATGAAAAATGAACAGAAATAATGGATTCTATATATTGCTATACCCATACACCTAAGTGGGCCCAGTATAATCTCCAAAATTGGTAGGTAGCTGTATGTCTTGCATAAAAGCTTATATGCTTCCAGAAATTGAGGAACTGTAACTCTCAACATTCCTTCTAATTCAGTTCTGTAGGCTGGATAGCATTATAGCTAAATACACTTTTGAAATGGCAATAGCACTTAGACTTATATACTGCTTTATAATGCTTTACAGCCCTCTCTAAGTGGTTTACAGAGTCAGCCTATTGCCCCCATTGGGTCCTCATTTTACCCACCTCAGAAGGATGGAAGGCTGAGTCAACCTTGAACCTGGTGAGATTTGAACTGCCCAATTGCAGGCAGCCGGCTGGTAGCAGAAGTAGTTTGCAGTACTGCACTCTAACCACTGCCGCCACCAAGGCTACAGATGCTACAGATCTCCTATTGTATCCTGTAGCAAAATGCAACAGATCTCCTATCCTTGACCTATTTAAAGGAGCCCCTGTTATACATGTGTCTGCCTTGCTCACTATTGATAGATTTTTCAACTGGCTTTTTCCATTCTTAAACCAAATACTGTGCTTTAATGAATTACTTTCAGTGAAACCATAGCTTTCAATTTTATCCCAAGCCAGTTAATTATATTTATGGGATATGGATTAGTTCTGGTTTTGAAGGATCTGTGTGCATTATGTATTATTGGTAAACCTGTAACAAAGATTTCTGCCAAATGTGAAACAATTTATTAAAGAGAACCACCCCACGGAGTTCATTTGTTATCAAGCAATATATGTGAAACAAGTTTAGATTTGACTTTAAAATAGATTATAACAGTCAAATTGAAATGATTGATTTAATTATAGAATTACTATAGAAGGAAGGCCCAAGCCCATGAAGCAACGAGGGGGATAAATTTGACAATACAAGAGAACTAGGCTAAAGTGCTAGGGAAAAAAAAAAACATAATTTGCAGAAGGAATAAAGGGAAATTATCACAATGGAACAAACTCCTATGGAAAGAGCTTAGTAATTCTAGACAATGAACTTCAGTTAGCTGTAGAATTTTTCTTGTGTAATAAATCATGTAGGTATTTGGGGGACATTTGCATAGTTCAGTCAATTAAACAAACAAACTACTTGGGGAGAGAATATCTGGACTGGACAATCAGCTGTTGGAAAGGATAGTTGCAGTAGTTAAAGATTCATAAGGATGTACTCAGAAGAATTCATTCCGTACTTTATCACAGAACATACGATCTAGAAGCCTCTGTTGCTGAAATACGACCTGCCTAAAACCTGCTTAAATTAGCTCCCACTGATAACTGTAGGTGAAAAGAGATCAGTATGGAAATGGCAATAGCAGTCCGCCCTTTCATACGTTTTCATGTAGAGCTACTTACATATCTTGACCAAGATTCCAAATGGTTCATGCTAGAGCTAGACCTTCAAATTTCCATGAACAGGGAAAGATTAACAAATGTTTCAACCTTATCACCATTGACTTATTGAGATCCTATTCATATTTTAATTGTTAATGATTTATATTCTGTAATTTTCCCCATGGGTGTATGTGTAGGTTGCTTGAATTTTTCTGTTTGCTGTGCTAGAATAAATTGCATGCAATTTATTAAATTGCACCCTGGAAGATGTTAAACCAGAAGCAGGAATGTAATTCTCTACATTCCTGGCAGAAAATTAGCATCCAGGAGACTATAAATCGTGCATTGTTGTATATGCTGCTCTTGCTATGAAACTCTTCAGTCATTATTGTTTATGCACATATGTTTTATGGATCTCTCATATTTTTTAATCATGAGAGAGATCCATAAAACATACGTGCATAAACTTGCCAGGAATAAGTTTTGTTCTGGAAACCTGCACATAATTGCTAATGTAAAGCATTCTTTGTGCTGTTGGCAGATAGAGTAGCAAACAGAAGTTTCAACTGAAAATTTCATTGTTTCCTTGAAGACCAATCACTCCAAAACAGCCGTCTAGTACAAGTTTATTCTTTGACAGATTATATATTGCTGCTTTATAGATAAGATAATCCCAATGCCAATAAACTAATACTTAAAGCCACAGATTGGTAAAAAAGTTTCTGCCAGGACATCATCTTAAGTTTTCTTTTAAGTTTCCCTATAACACTTGTACTTTGATGCCATTATAGGCACAATTTTGGACTAATAATAGATGTATGGTAATATTGACCAAGATAGTCTTTTGAAAGGTAAAGAAATGATTAGAGAAATGAATAGTAGTAGTTACAGGACAGTTTAACTGATTATAACCACAAAATGATTTTTAAGTTGACAAATTGTGAACTGCAAGAAAGTAATTATATATGGAGTGAAAGCCAACTTGTCAACTGTGGAAATGCTAGGTTCTTGCTATACAGATTATTATTACTATCATTGCTCTCCAGCTCTGAGACTTTTGTAGGAAGACAATAATAATGCAGCATCAATTGATGATTTTCTTCTTTCCTTAGCACTCCCAGAATTGCCTGGGTTATCTCCAAATGATTGCTTCTTTGTTCTGTTTCTCATCTTTTTGGCAAATTAGATGCTCAACTTGTTCTATGAAGATGTATTCAAAGGAGACTATACCAGCACAAGATATAACAATGTAGTTCAACTCAATTTCATCAGGGCTGTGGTTGACCTCGGGGTGTGTGTGCGTGTCACTGACTGGGTGGGCATGGCTAGCTTGATGCCACTCCCCAAACTGCTGGCATGTTTTCTCTTCACATTGGGTAGACCAGGCCGAAGCTATGCTGGCCTCATCTTTTGTCTTTGCACTGGGTAGACCAGGCTGAAGCCAGGCTAGTCCAATCTTTCCTCTTCATATTGGGTAGACCAGGACGGCCCTGCGGGCTGGATCTGGCCCATGGGCCTTGAATTTGACATGCCTAATATAATTTATAGGCAGTAGGCTGATCAAGATAGCAAGAAATGTTCAACTAAGAGAACACAAAGTTGGAAAGGACTATTTAGGCATTTATATTTAACCCTTTGCACAGTACAAAAATAAAAAAATCTTGCTTGTGTCAACATTGGTCTGATGCCTTTAATCAAACATTTGAATTATCCAAGATCTTCCTCCTCAATTACCATAAATGTTAGTGGGAAGAGTTTAAAGGGGGAAATGCTGGGGTTTGAGGTTGATGTGCAGCATCTGGTATTTCAGTTTATAGGCTAGAAATCTGGAGATCAGGCATTCCAGTCCCCATCTTAGGCACAACTGGGTAATGTCGGGCCAGTCACATTTTTTCAGCCCTAGGAAGCAGATAATGGCAATCCACCCCTGAAAAATATTAGCTGCAGGGATTTGTCCAGGGAGCCCCCCAAGAATCAAGACTAATTCAAAGAAACCAAAAAGGAGAAATATATTTAACTCATTGGTATGGCAAGGAATGATGTGCCCTTAATTGAATGAAATCTGTTATCTTAGAATCAATATAAAGGCATCATCATTTATTTGAAATAGACCCTGTTGGGTGTTTTGCTGTTGCAGCAGCAATTAACATCCTTATCCAATCTACCTCAGTAAGTTTTAGATCCTGATAACCTTCTGTGAAATTTTGGCTTATTTGCTCTGATTGGGATCCTTCTGGCAGCAAATGGATATGATGACAAGCAAATTTGTTGAATCAAGAGAATCTTTGATCATATCCAGCGGGGTTCGAATCCTTTTTACTTTCTCTTCTGAGTGGATAATTCTTAATTACAATTAGGCTTAGTATAACACAGAAGTTAACAGCACATTTCTTGGGTTTTAACTTTGCCTCCAGAGCAACAATCACATCAGTGGTGGGATTCAAATTTTTTTACTACTGGTTCTATGGGCGTGGTTTGATGGGCACGGTGTGGCTTGGTGGACGTGGCTTGGTGAGCATGGCTTGGTGGGCATGGCTTGGTGGGCGTGGCTTGGTGGGAAGGAAGGTTACTGCAAAATCTCCATTCCCTCCCCACCCCACTAACCTGCTTCCCAGCTCCATTCTCCTGTGCAGGGCAACGAAAGAAGACCCAGCCGATCAGCTGGGATTTGGGAGGCAGAGAGTAGATGGGGGCGGGGCCAGTCAGAGGTGGTATTTGCCAGTTCTCTGAACTACTCAAAATGTCCGCTACCAGTTCTCCAGAACTGGTTAGAACCTCCTGAATACCACAATCACATGCTTGAAAAAGGAGAAACTTATAAATGAATTTGCTTCCAAGGTGACTAAACATAGTTGTAACATATTGGTAGAATATATTGGATTTGAAGGACTTTCCTTGTCTGTAAGACTTAGCCAAATATCTTTCTTTTCTCTGCCTCTCTTTGTCTCTTTAAACTGAGTGTTCCTGATGGAACCACTGAGCTCAGAGTCTTAAAGAGACCCCCTCCCTTTTTTGGCCCCTTAAAATTCAGCATTTACATAGGGGGCACAGAGTTTAAACAGATTCCCAGGAAATTTATTCTGGGATAATATGTGTGTATACCAGTAGTGGTATTTGACCGGTTCGGCCTGGTTCTGGCGAGCCGGTAGGAGCGATGAGCAGCGGAGACTGAACCGATTCTCTCCAC